ATATATATATATATATTTTACTTTTCTGTTTAAAGGCTAAGAAATAGTAAGAAAAAAACATTATAAATGATACACAATTTCACTAAACAAATGGATCTCTTGGGAAAATAAGGTAGAAATAACCACTAGCAGCCAGAGTAAGAATGATTTTTATCAAATAAACATTGATGATACCCAGACTATTAGCAGTCTCTACATGTGGCGAATACAGTTTGAAAAACATGTCAAAAATACAATTAACAAAAATAACAATATAAAATTGCATATGACTCTGGGTATGAAACATCAACTTCACAGAATGACTTTTAGAATATAATTCAGAGATGATAAAAACCAACAAATAAGCAGATGTACATTTTACTTCACCTTTTTCATTTTTCCTGTGACAGAGAAAACTGGGTCTCAGTTCCCTGGGTTCTGGGAAGCACGTGCATCTTCCTTTTGCGTGGACTGAAGTAATATATCTGGCGCAATGCCAAGGAGAAATCCAAGACGGTATGTGCTCCAAGCCCTTCTTAAGAATCCTAAGGCTTTTCTAGATTAGCAGTTAAGGTATAATTTGAGATCCTTGATTTCTGGAGATTTTCAGGACACAAAAACTTTGTTCCTTTCTATCAAAATATCTCACAACGATGTATTCTGAAAGTTTCCTTGGTAATTTTGAATTTATGAATTTGATTGCTCAACTTTTTAATTACCAAATTGTCAAAAAAACATTTTCTCATTATAGTCTTTATTACTTTTTTCTAAAATTAGCAACTAATTAAAAAGTAATACAAACTGTCATTTAGTGGTGTTCCAATTACAATAAGTACTATACATTAAGAGAAGTTTGTTCCTGCATTTTATAATTCTTACTCATAAAACATTAATCTAGCAGCCTTTGTTTTTATACTTATTTTATACAGCTAACTTTCCTCATTACCTTTTCATTTATCCCTTCCCATTTATATGTCTCCTTACAAGCACCGTCTAACCAATCTAAAAAGGAAATTAAATAACATTATTTTTAAGGGGGTAAAATTCTTTCCCTCATTATCCTAAATGTTATGTATATGCCTTTTAAAATGAGTTTCAGAATGTTAACCACATAAGGTCAGGGAGTATTGCTCCGTGTAAATTGGGATTGTAATACTCCCTAGGAGCTCCAAGCAGTAAGAACCATTTTATGTTTTTCTTGCCGTTGCGTTCCCTTAGCACAGTGCTACCCACAGTCTGACCTCTCTTAATTGTGTAAATGACATTGAGGTAAAAACTTTTGGTTTATTGCCACCTAGTAGCTAAGTGCTTTGTTCATTTTTGTGTTCAGGTCTCCAGCAGTCACGTGATTCAAGAGTGGTTCTTTCCGGGTCCCAGGGGTGAAATGTACTTGACCTAAATTAATTGATTTTTTTTTTTTTTTTTGTATTTTAGGGAAGGGTCTACAGGGTGTCTCACTACTAGATCGGACTCATAGTGATCCTCCTGCTGTTTACAATCTCCCAAGTGCTGGGATTACAGGGGAGTGCCACCATACCCAGTCTTAGTTGTCATCTCAGTGGGCCCCAGGGGGTGGGGCTGGCAGGCCCAGGATAGAACTCTTGGCCCCTGAGCCTGCTTGCAGGTGCTTTAATCCACTGAGCTATTTGGCTGGCCCTTTGGCCTAAATTAATTATAATAATTCCCATGATCCTGCCAGTGAATAGACTGGGAGTGGTCACATGAATGATCCTGTCCACAGGGATGTAAAAACAGGACAGTGTCTAATACTTTCATTAACTTGCTTTGAAAAATACATGTTTGGGAAGAAAGCATCTCTTCTCTCTCAATACCTCTTTCCTCACTAGCTTGGTAAAAACGCAAAGCTTGGGGCTTGGGTCACTGTCACAGGGTGTCCTTGTATAAACCGTGAGGACAGGCAAATGGAGAAAACTTGCCCACAGAAGGTAGTGTTTTTAGCCATCCCAGACCCTTTCCAATTCTGATCTTGTAAAATAACAAACACTTTCATTTCGAAGATATTTTCTGTCCAGTTGAGTGCTATGCAGAACTAAAAGTGTTTCAGTTTATTTGGACACTGACCTCCAAAAGATTTCCTGAGCATCATTTGTTCTCATCATCATCATAACTGAAATAATCTAATAGAATTTCGGCTTGTATTTTTGCCTGCTACTATTTTGTAGTCCACTGTCCACTTAGCCGGGGCCTCTTGACAGCTTAAGTAATTTCCGATTTCACTTAAAATGAGCCCAACCCCCTGGCATGGTGATTCTGCACCCAGCTTCCTGTTGGATTTTGGCATGACAGCTGAGGACTCCAGAGCTGGGTGGGGGGTACCGATTGGTGGCAGCTGTTCTGCCTCTTCTGATCAGGCCTTGGAAGTCATGCAGGCCTTCTCTCTGCTGCCTTCTCTCATTTGAAGGAAGCCCAAGAACGATTGGAGTTTAGGGGAAGGGATGGTAGAATTTATCTATTGATGGGAAGAGTGCTAAAGAATTTGTAGACTCATTTTAAAAGCAGTATCCGATGAGAAAATAGTTAATTGCCAGCATGAATTAAAGAGTGTACGAAAGCTGGATCATTTTAAAATGACAAAGTTTCTATGTTTTAATATTTCAGAAGCTTTAAGTGTGCTTCATGCGTCCCTGGACCACGCTCCCTTTGATGAGGATCATCTGCCTGCCTTATTTTTTGTTGCGGAATCAGTTTTGCATAGGCTCTGCTGTGATGCATTCCTGAAGGAGTTTTTATATTCTGTTGAAATAAAGCTGACAAAGGTATGTCTTGACCATTTTATGTATTTCAAATCATTAAGTTCTATTATATGTAACCACATGATTTCTTTTTAGGGCCAAGATAAGAGAGCTCCTTTTATTACAGAACTCAGGTTTAGTAATCTCGTTTAAAGTTGTGAACAGAACATTATTGCCTGTGATTCAAGTGGATATAGTCTGAGAAAATATGATTTTACAGACTGTTAGAAAATCTTTAATTAAAAATCAATGTCTTTATTAATTTTTGGAATATATGTCAGTTTTAGCTTTTCTGTCTTAAGAAATTTTAATGTTACCTAATTTGAAATTTAAATTGCTGACAGATGACCTTAAATAGCTTCTCAATTTGAAATTAGTTCTTTTAGTCTTCTGTGTCATTTTAGAACTTTACTAAACTTTCTTTACTGAGGCCATATTTTATAAAGTTCTTGAAATCATGTGGTTTTACTCTGTAATGCTCACAATTGACTGTTGGAAACTATTAGTTGAATAAATTTACATCAATTAATTTTTATTAATTAGCATTTTTATTGTAAAAGGAATAAAGACATACTTCTTTAATGTATACCATATATATGAGACAAATATAATTGATTATGCAACATTATGGTTTATCTTGTTTAGTTTTGCATAGGAACTCATAGAAGCAAAGCATGAGAGAATGAACCAGCCCTTTATTGGGGTATTTAGGGGAAATGCTCTCTAACATGTTTGGAAATAATAGATTTATGGAAACCAAGCAAGAACATATACAGAACACATAATAACAATTGATTAAGCAAAAGACTGAGGGTTAAAAGGGAGGATAGGAGGAAAAGAGTTAAAATGCTACCAATAATTTTCTTGGAATTGTGAGAATACAGAGTTTCTTTGTTCTTTTTGGAAACTGTCATATATATATATATATTTTACTTTTCTGTTTAAAGGCTAAGAAATAGTAAGAAAAAAACATTATAAATGATACACAATTTCACTAAACAAATGGATCTCTTGGGAAAATAAGGTAGAAATAACCACTAGCAGCCAGAGTAAGAATGATTTTTATCAAATAAACATTGATGATACCCAGACTATTAGCAGTCTCTACATGTGGCGAATACAGTTTGAAAAACATGTCAAAAATACAATTAACAAAAATAACAATATAAAATTGCATATGACTCTGGGTATGAAACATCAACTTCACAGAATGACTTTTAGAATATAATTCAGAGATGATAAAAACCAACAAATAAGCAGATGTACATTTTACTTCACCTTTTTCATTTTTCCTGTGACAGAGAAAACTGGGTCTCAGTTCCCTGGGTTCTGGGAAGCACGTGCATCTTCCTTTTGCGTGGACTGAAGTAATATATCTGGCGCAATGCCAAGGAGAAATCCAAGACGGTATGTGCTCCAAGCCCTTCTTAAGAATCCTAAGGCTTTTCTAGATTAGCAGTTAAGGTATAATTTGAGATCCTTGATTTCTGGAGATTTTCAGGACACAAAAACTTTGTTCCTTTCTATCAAAATATCTCACAACGATGTATTCTGAAAGTTTCCTTGGTAATTTTGAATTTATGAATTTGATTGCTCAACTTTTTAATTACCAAATTGTCAAAAAAACATTTTCTCATTATAGTCTTTATTACTTTTTTCTAAAATTAGCAACTAATTAAAAAGTAATACAAACTGTCATTTAGTGGTGTTCCAATTACAATAAGTACTATACATTAAGAGAAGTTTGTTCCTGCATTTTATAATTCTTACTCATAAAACATTAATCTAGCAGCCTTTGTTTTTATACTTATTTTATACAGCTAACTTTCCTCATTACCTTTTCATTTATCCCTTCCCATTTATATGTCTCCTTACAAGCACCGTCTAACCAATCTAAAAAGGAAATTAAATAACATTATTTTTAAGGGGGTAAAATTCTTTCCCTCATTATCCTAAATGTTATGTATATGCCTTTTAAAATGAGTTTCAGAATGTTAACCACATAAGGTCAGGGAGTATTGCTCCGTGTAAATTGGGATTGTAATACTCCCTAGGAGCTCCAAGCAGTAAGAACCATTTTATGTTTTTCTTGCCGTTGCGTTCCCTTAGCACAGTGCTACCCACAGTCTGACCTCTCTTAATTGTGTAAATGACATTGAGGTAAAAACTTTTGGTTTATTGCCACCTAGTAGCTAAGTGCTTTGTTCATTTTTGTGTTCAGGTCTCCAGCAGTCACGTGATTCAAGAGTGGTTCTTTCCGGGTCCCAGGGGTGAAATGTACTTGACCTAAATTAATTG